GCCCTACAGTGAAAATCTCTCAAAAAAAAAAAAAAGAAAAGAAAAAACAAATACATTGCCTTGATAGGCGTCAGGATATGCTTTTCTGTGAACTCCATCAAAGCTCTTACTTGGCTCAAACCTTCTTTTAAAATGAGTCTGCCCTAGGTTTTTCTAGTTTGCCTTCTGTTGCCTCTCCTCAATCCTTACTCAGGTCTTGAATCAGAAATGAGTTGATGGCCATGGTAGAAATGGTATGACTTAGCAAAAGGAGCTCTGTGTAGACTGGACTTGATGAGGAAGCCAGAAGTTCTTTGTCCTGTGTGTGTGTGTGTGTGTGTGTGTGTTTAATTTCTTGTGTGTGTGCGAGAGAGAGAGAGAGAGACCTCCCAACAAAGCCTTCACGCTGTGATCACCCCAGTCTCAGCCAGCCTGGCTCATGGGCACATGTGATTCAGCACGCTCAGAGAGATCCTGGGACGGGAACCAGGACCTTTCCCGTAGGGGTCCAGTTGTGTGTGTTAGTGCTACGCCATTGCCTGGCCTCCTGGAGGCTTTGTGATAGGTTAGCCCCGTGTAGATGGAGCCTGGATGCAGGGGGTAGTTATGAACAGAGAGAGCGAGGGAAAGACAGACAGACAGACTTAGTAATGGTCACAAGTATGGGATAAATAGAAGAAAGAGTATTGAAAATGGTACAGGATTTGATCCAAAAAAGGATCAATACGATGAGCTATCACGTTGTCAGAGGAAACTGGAAGGAACAGCCAAGAGAGCAACTGGGAGGGGAGGAGTGAAGATCCCAAGTACAGAGGGAGCTGTTGAAGTAGGAAAAGTGCATTTGGGCTTTTTTCTAATCCAACCAGTACTGGTGGTCTGCTATATTAAAAACAAAGTGGATTTATTATTTTCGTATTTATTGAGTGCTGTTAGGTTCAGCATCTCCTGGGAGTAGGCAAGGCATAGCCCATGTCCAGGGAGTTCATACAGTAGTGAGCCCTGGGATGGAGAGGAGTAGCAGGGTGAGTTTTGAGTGCTAAGGAGAGTGCAGTGGGGAAAGGAGAGAAGGCGTCGGAGGAGTATGGTGTGAGCCCTGTCAACTCAGGAAGCCAACAGCAAGGATGCTCTGGGAGGGCAGGCGAGTGTGCCTTTGTCCTTGCTGTGTCCCAGCATCGGGTAGCTCTGGCTTTAGTAGCCATTTAGTAGGCATTTATGAAATGTGGAGGTGGATGAATGAATAAATAGGATAAGAAAAGACAAGGGGGGACCAGCAGATGGTGCAATGGTTACGTTGCTGGATTCCCATGTAGTTGACTGTGGTTCAAGTCCCACACCCAGTGGCTCAAACTCAGGCTGGGCATGTGTGTGTGCATGCCCAAAATCCTGAGAGGAGAATGGAGGAGAAGGGATTGCAAAGTGGCCATCCCCTCTAGGGATGATTTCTCACCTTCTGTCTCTCTGTCTCTCCCTGTCTCTCCAGTGATTGCATGCGCCCTATAGCAAAAATCTCTCTTTAAAAAAAAATGAAAAAGCCAAGGATAGAAGATAAGGAAATGAACTTTGGAGGCCAAGTGTTTGTGCAGGGGTACTGCAACTGGGCCCACATGAGAAGGGTCCTGGATTCATGTCCTGGGGTGTCCCTGAACATACCAGGTGCTTCTCTGTGCCTGTGATCTGGGCCAGCTGAGACTTGGGGTGGAATGGGGCATCAGGACCCCGTTGGGGGTATCCATTTCTGTGTCTACCTGTCTGTCTCTGTCTTATGGAATCAATGAATAAATTTATTTACGTAAAGGATGTGACCTTTGGATGTGGCTCATAGCAATCTCTGGCCAGCTTCGAGTTGTTTGAGTAGCCGGTTGAGGATGGAGGGTTCGGTGTGACCGTTGAGAGGAAGAGAGGCACGGTGTCTATGCATATGGAGGAATCATGGGAGAGAAACTGGACACAGGTGGCTGGTAGAGTTAGGTATCGCCTTTCCCCAGAGGGGACGTGCGAGCCCATGGCTTCCTTTGAGGAACATGCCTGGAATTGCTTTAATGGATGGCCGGAGGTTTTAATGAGGATAAAAAGTGACATCCCCCTCTGGCAGAGGGGGATGGATGAAGCTTGGATTACCATGTTCCAGAGACTTGACCTTGCCAGTTTCACTTAATCCTCACAACAGCCCTAGGAAGAGATCATCTTAAAGGGTTCACTTCACAGGGAAGGGGGTAAGCTCAGAGAGGTAAGCGTCAGCCCTGTCATGTCACAGCTGGGAAGTGTGAAGTTAGGGTCAGCCTTGCAGCATTTAGGGAGAAACAGCTAGAAGCTAGGATAGAACAGGGAATCGACAGTGATGTGTTGAGGGCCAGCTGATGACATGGTGGTTAAGGTGGTTTGATCCCACATGGCCGACTGCATGATCGAGTCTCGGACCCGTGGGCTTGAAAACATGCTAGGCATGTGTGCGTGTGTGCCCAAAATTGCAAAAGGAGGAGGAAATAAAGAAGAGATGTGGCATGACCATCCCTGTGGGGGATGCTTTTTCACTTTTCTCTCTCTCTCTCTCTCTGTGTGTGTCTTTTTGGCAAGCATATGTACCCCCTGGCAAAATTTAAAAAACACACAAGAGTTATGAGTTGGAAGGCAGAAGAAAGTGTAGGAGTTGTGCAGGGCTAATTATGAATCTGGATGAGAGAGGTCAGTTTTCGGGGCCAACCACGCTGGACCTTAGAACCTGCAGGTCAGGAGAGAGCTGGGTGAGGGGCTCTCAGGAAGGAATCTCAGTTCCTGCAGAGCGGGAGATCTTGACTGCTCCTCCTAGTCTTGCTGTCTGCCAGCTCTGCAGCACAGCCCAGAGCACAAAAGGAGGGAGAAGCTATGGTTACTGAAAGCTCATTGACAGTGCCAGTGAAAACAGTGAGGGACAGAGAATGGAGAAAAGAGGTGAGCTGGCTCTTTAGGTCTTCTAGGAAAGGGAGTAGTAAGAGCTTTTTAAAGTGCCTGTTATGTTTGTTTTCACATTTAATCTTCCCAGTCCCTTTCATAATAGGCTGCCTTGTATCCTTTTTCACAGATTAGGAAACGTTAGGCACCAGGAGCATCTGCCTTAGCCAAGTACACAGCCAGTTCGTAAGCAGGGGCCCAAGATGCAAGCCCAGTTCTGTCTTGGCTATGAGGCAGACGCAGCAGAGCCTCGTGGTGGGAAGGCCCGGACAGGCCCTGGCTCTCTGCCCTGCTCCTTTCTGAGCTTCTCCCTTACTGAGAAAGAGGAGAGTTTCTGAGCCAGCCCGTTGGGGGAGGAGGTACGGCAACCACCAACTTCCATCTACTGGGTGCATCTGGAGCCTGAGCTGGGTGTTGGGCGCTCTCTCAGGTCTTAGCGCCCTTGATCTTCACAGCAGCCCTGGTAGTTCCCCTGTGCAGATGCAGGTTAAAGAGGTTTAATAATTTAACTGAGGCCCTGTGGCTAGTAAGTCAGCAAAACCTGGGATCGGGACCTGGCTCCAGATATATGTATCTCCTTATATCTTCAAATCCCCTCTGTCAGTGGCTAAAGTAGCCGCACATGGCAAAGCTGAGACACGAGAAGGCAAATGGCCCTTCCTGGGTTGCAGTAGCCAGTGACCTACCTCGGGCTAACACTTGGGCTTCCCAGGGCTCACCTTGGCTGTTGGTGGAGAAGTGAAATGATCATTTAGGACCTGCAGGACTGGAGTGTCCAGAGTGGCAGACCTGGGTCGTGACTGCCTCGCTTCCAGGCAAACTGAATGGTAATGTCAAATCCCTCCTCACCCATGTTGGTATTTGAGGCACCCAGGGCCACAGTGGTTTATGGCATCCCAGCCAGCCTGATTCCCTCCAGATTTTCACTGTTGCTGGGATCAGGGAAACTAGGCCTCCTCCCCTAGGGGTAGGGCATGGCATTTGCTATGCCTTTGTTTTTAATTCACACTTATCTCACTGGCTCTGTTTGCAGTTTTAGCTTCCAGAGGAGTCTGGAAGGAAGAACCCTGTTGGGCAGAGACCAGAGCTGGGGAGAGGGGTGCAGGAAGAGATAGCATTGGTGGATTTGGGTTTTCTAGAAGTAAAGGTTTAGCTTGTGGGAGTTCAAGAATGTACTTGGAAATGTTTCCAATTTATTTTCATTGCAAAGCAATAGCTAAAGAAAATGTGGGAAAAGACCCAGGAGCCTGAAACTAATAAATCACCAGCTTTCATTTTCTGATGTTCACTTTGACTCCTTGTCTGGTTTAGTTAAACAATATTATATGATTGGACCTGTAGTATAGACTCAGTGTATATCCACAATCCAGGATCCTGTTTTTAAATGGATCATGTCCATTCTCTATAGTGATCATTTTAAACAGATATGTTGTATTTCTTTGAGTGGGAGAACCATGTTATCCTTACCTGTTGCTCTGTTTTGGGGGCATTTAGATGGCTTTTTAACTTTTTACTATTTGAGACAATGAGATAGAAATCATTTTCCTTTGGAAAAAGTTAGTTCCCTGTGATAAATTCACAGGAGTTTGAATTCTGCATTAAAGAGACTGAGATTTTTCTTTTTTTAATTCTCTTGTGGAATTTATGACCAAATCCCTTACAAGGGACTTCCCTGGGTATTGTTTTTATAGCCTGCAAACTGGGGGTGGGGGCTGGGCATTGTGTCTAGGGTGGTCAGTGTGAGGGCCTGCTTCCTAGAGCTTAAAGCTAGTGAGGGCCAGCAAGGTTGTGCTCAGGAAGTGGACAAGTGCCCAGGTCTCTCCCACCCCTCCTTTTCCTGCTGCTGTAAGAGGGGTTCAGATTGCTCAGCACCTCGCCTGGCTCCTTCCCAGACACCTGGGGAGGCTGTTGCTGCAGAAGTGGGACATGGAGAGTTCCCATGCTTCCTCGCTTGCTTGCTTACAATAGAGACCTCAGAGAGAAGGGGTTCATACTAGGGTGGCTGCTGTCATTTAGCCGTCAACCAGCCCCGTCAGCCAGCCCTGTTAGGGTTGACTTTGAAGACTGATACCTCTTTCTCTTTTCCCAGAACTGGTTCCTGTTGAAGAGTGGCTCCTCCTCAGATTCCTGAGATTTTAAGCATCCAGTAGGTGAAATTCTCTACCTCTAAGGAGAAACAGCACCTGCTCCTTCACCCAGAGCAAGCCCTCCATTGCTATGGATACCGAATCCACCTACTCTGGATATTCCTACTACTCAAGTCATTCGAAGAAATCTCACAGACAAGGGTATGTAAGCTGCTGATCATTCCACTTTTCTTTTGGGGAAACTTGCAGGTTGGTGGGGGCTTTGTAGGCTCTGTCTTTGCTGGGGGGTTCTGTCCATTGGTGGATGAGAAGCCAGAGCTTTAAGAGCATTTAACATGCAGTTGGGAGTAACTGCACTAGCAATTTACATTTTATGGCCTCCATTAGAGTTGATGACCTTAATCTCTCACAATTGGTTTTAAATTAAAGTTTCTCTCTGCAGTGGAAATACTTCCCATTTCTAAGTACCTCTTATAGATGTCAGTTCTCCTCAAGCTTTAAGATTATAAATGAAAGTTTTTTAAAAAAATGTTAATTTGTTGCATTTTACCCGAAACTGCTGATTCATGTGTGCTATGCAGTGCCTCTAGTCTTTAAGCTTGTTCAGGAGCTTGTGGGGTTGTCCTGGTGCTTTGTTTCTTCTTGACTGATCTTCCACGCAAACAACTCTGGCTTTTGAAAACATCCTGAGTGATGGGAGCCTAAATCGCCCTTCTCTGCAAAAGAAATAGTCTGCACTAGTATTTATAGGACCTGTTGTGTTACTCACAGGATGTTAGCTGAGCAGAGGAGTAAGTGAATGAATGAAAAAATAAGTGAATAAATAGGTGGTACTTTATCAGTTAAGAAGGTGGTTGTGGGGCTAGTAGCTGGTATGGTGGTTGAGGTGTTGTACTCCCACGTGGCTGAGAGCGGTTTGAGTCCTGGACCTGGTGGCTTGCTTTCTCACTCTCTCTCTCTGGTGAGCACATGTCCTACAGCAAATTAAATAATAAGTAAAATTAAATAATTCTTTCAAAAGAAGTAGGAAAGTGGTTGGTGAGATTGCAGTGCTGTGGTTTACCTAGTCCTTTCATCTGTGTAATGAATACAGCATTCCTCTCCTTACAGGGCTGTTGAGTGGATTAAATGGGATTATGTACAGAAAGCATTGAACACAACACATACTAGAGGACACTAACCCACAACTGTATTCACTTTACTAATGGCCTTGACATTTCAGCACCTTCCTCAAAGGCACCAACCAACCCCAGCCCAGAGGTCTACCTGTGGTCCCAGCTGTGCAGTGGCTTGGGGACTGTGACAGTAGTGGCATTTTCCTGACCGAGGAGTTCCCATTCGAACAGCTGAATGCAGGCTGGGATTTTGTTTTGTAAAACCATGATATATGTATCTCTAGGGCCACCTCCACAGCTTATTGGCTGAATGCTGTGCAGAGAGGTGAGATCCCACATGGCCAACCGGGGTGCAAGTCTCACCCTGCAGCAACACAACAGACATGCAGTTGTATGCCCAGGATCCTGATGGGATGGAGAAATGGAGGAAAAAGGATTGTGGGGCTGATTCTGTGGCCTGGTGGTTAAGGCGGCCAGATCCCATGTGGCTGACCAAACAGTTCAAGTCCTGGATCCGGTGGCTTGAGAAACACTCCATGCATATGTGCATTTGTGTTCAAAATCCTGAACGCAACTCTTTCTCCTCACTCCCTCTGTCTTTGTCTCTCTCTGGCAAGTGTAACATACCCTCCAGCAGAAAAAGAAAAGAAAAGAAAGAAAAGAAAAGATTTTGACCAGATCCTGCTGCAGGAGTGCTTTCTGTTTTTGGCATGGATGGACATATGCCCTCTGAAATTAAATGAATGAATAAATTTTAAAAAAGTCTATCTAATATATTTATGAGCATATGTAGGTGGATAACAGAGAAAGACGTCTAGAAATATCTTTTCCAGCTTCCAGGAGTGGTTCCACAGGGAAGGGGATTGGCAGAAGATGGTGACCATTGAGAACTTCCTCTTTCTGAACTTGTTCAGGTTTTCACAAATGTTCATTTTGTAACTTAGAAAAATGAATAAGAACATATAAAGGGAAGTTTTTCAATGATTAGTTGATGACATGAGAAAATATTGATGAGACCATGTTATTAAAAAGGCAGGCTTTAAAACTTTATTATACTGTTTGGTTGTCAGAAAAGTCATGACACATTTTTACACAGAAAAATATAGAAAAGATATGTCATGACTTTTCTGACAGCCCAATCGTTATATGTTTATACAGTAGGGTGAATATTAAAACATTTCCCATGCTTGTCTCCAAATAATAGGATTATGGGTATTTTCAAACCTTAAATACTTTCTAAATTTTCTGCTTGCCCTTCTAATCAAAAACATTAGGGAAAATATGTAAGTGAACTTGTGCTAGAGCCCAGGTAAGCCTTGCTGGTCAGGACAGGAACACAAGGTGTTCTGGGATAGGTGCTGTTGGGTGTGGGGGACTGCAGTCACAGGCCAGAGCCCAGATCCCAAGACAGTCACAAACTCTGTCATAATAAAAGTAAGAAATCACAACGTTCAACCAGTGAAAATAAACTCATCAGATTCCTTTAAAAAATGCCAGAAATGCCTGTTTGGGTTCTTTTCTTTATTCATAATAGAATGCGTGCACATCCATCTGAGAGAGAGATGAGCACCCCCCTACAGGGGATCCCCTTCTTCTAGTCCTTCAGGCCACGAGCTCCTGAGCACTCATATGCGTGTGCAGTGTGTTTCAGGCTGACCAGCCCAGGGATTCAAACTGGTTGTCACGACAGAACCAATTTCTTTTGAGCAGTGCATTACCACTGTGCCATGGAACTGTCCTGCAAACAACTTCTTAAAACATGGACTCCACAGTGCAGTGATTGAGTGCTATGCGTAGGGTGCTAGGTCCCACCAGTCGCTTGAAAAATATGCCAGGCATGTGTGCCCTCCATGTCCAAAATCTCAGTGGGATGGAGAAATGGAGAAAAAGGATTGTGGCGTGACCACGCTTCACTGGGGAGTACTCTCTGTGTCTCACTCTCTGGTAATAGAAGCAAATAAATAAAACATGGAATCACTGGGAAAAGCAGTTCCCTTATTAATGTGCCAGGCTTCCTTCTCTACCCCACATTGACGGAAGTAGGCATTTGGGGTTCCCTTGTTGCCTGGGAATGAACAGAGGAGCGGGGAAGTATTCTGAGTAGGAGCTATCTCTTGCCGCCTTTATCTACACCCGTGTTCTAGCTTTCTGCCGCAGGGTTATGTGAAATTGCTCTGCCACTCGGCTGGTTCCTCAGGCCTCCTGGGACTCCCAGAAATTGATACTCCAGTGCTCTTGTGGTAACTTTAAGAGGCTGTAACTTTCAATTAAAACAACATGTAGAACTCTTAGTGCTGCCTTGGACCCATGTGGAAAGCACTTGGCAAATGTTAATATAAGCTGAGACTTTTAATCAGTTAATCAAGGAATGTTGCTGAATGCCTGCTCAGAGAAAAGCTCCGAGGGAGGGAATGTGAGGGAGCCTCTGTGGGCTCTGTTACAAACACCACTGTCCTTGAGTGTGGGTCCTCTGACTGAAGAGAGCATTCGGTGTGGTTGTGAGACAGAGAATGTAAGTAGACAGTGCTGCTGTGGAGTGCTTTGTCAGGTCATGAAGAATATTAAGCAGTGGATCAGCCCATGCATGGTAGTTCAGGTGGCTGGATCCTCCATGGCTGACCATGCAGTTTGAGTCCCAGATCTAGTGGCTTACAAATACACCAGGTGTGTGTGCATGTTTACCCCACATCCTAAAAGAAGGAAGAAATGACGGAGAAGGGATTACCACATGATTATCCCTCATATTCATGGAAAAGTAGAGTTAAAGTTCAAGTCTGTTTTATTGGGGAAAAAATGTAAAATTCATGCATAGTCTTTTTTTCATAAATACACATTTTTTATGAAGTTTTGGGAGATGCCCTCACCATACCCTCCACCAACTGGCATGAAAGTAGACTGTAGACCTAGCTGAAGGTATTGTGTCCCAGACGTGTCCTCATGAGGGCCGTGCTGCTCAGTGACTTGGGAATTTGTGTGGAAGAGTTGGGGGACAGAGTGGGGAGGAGGAGCTGGGCAGGGGAGGCCTTCTCTTGGGTAAACACAATGGAACTCCAGCTCAGAGGGAAATAACGCACCAAACATGATATGCCTGATGACACTGTGATCATCTTGGAGGACTGGCCAGGTCCCAAGCAGATGGCAGGTGACTCTTCTCTAACGAAGAGATCAGTGGCCTGGTTTTGTGATGCCTGCAGTCTCCAGGGGGTGTCTAGTTAACTTGCTGGGAAATGATGCAGACTCCAGCCAACCTCACACAGCCTTTGGGTTTGGAGCGCAGGCCCCCCAATTTCAATCCAGCAGCTGCCCAGTGTGGTTCATGACTGTGTCAGGAGTACCTGCCAGGCCCTGCTAGTCATTATCTCCCATCCTCACTCTTCTGGAATGCTGGAGAGTATGGCCCTATTTTACAGGTGGTGAAACCAAGGTGCAGGGAGGTAGCGGCATCTGCCTTAAGTTCCAAGGTCAGTAGGTGCCCACAGCAGGTTTCAGCCAAGACTTGGTCCTTTGGAAGGAAAGCACCGCCTTTGAAGGGATATGAAGGATCCTCATGTGACTGATATACGTGAGTGCATTGTCTTGAAGAGAGCTGCATGGGCAGGGCAGTAATGGGCGCTTTTGTTCTGAGGCAGTTTCAGCGTCAGTTTGTCCTGCATCCAGGCCTCCCACCCCAGCCCATGCCAGCACCGACAGGAAGCAGCCAGCCAGACCCCAGCAGTCAGCAGACAGAGAGGACAGGTAGTGGGTGGTGATAGAGAAGGAAAGGGAGGAGTAACCGGTGGGGCCAACTTTCCCCAAATAGAAATAGACAAACAACAGAAACAGGATAAATAGTCTTCCCAGGAAATGCTGCCTGAAAGTAGGAGCAGTGTGGGAATTACAGGGATTCCAGCTGGATGGGGGGATTATGGTAACCCCCAAGGGCTAGAACCTCCTGAATAAATGCATCTACACGCGCACGTACAGACACGTGTCTGGGCCTACTCCATGCCGCCCTTGCCCTTCTCACCCCCTCACACACACATGTTCAGGTGTGCTTTTCTTTCACCTTTACTCATACGAGTAGATGTTACATGGAGACAGAATTAG